TAAAACTTGAATATTAATATTTTAAATTTTTAATATATCAAATTGAATTTTATAGAAATATCAAAATTAAATTCAATATAATAAAAATTTTAATTTTTAGCTTACAATTTTTACTTTAGGGATGTGACAAAAATCAGGTGATTTTTTAGAGAGGAGAGAGGTAAAAAATTTAAAATTATATATAAAGACCTGATCAAAATATATAGTAAGAGAAGAGGAAGGGATAAGCCTCTGATAAAAAAAAAATCAGGTAATAAATAACACTGCCTTTACAAATTTTTACTTTATAGTACTCATATATAGTATATTTACTTATGCTAAAAAGAAACATTAGATGAATTACAAGGCGCACATGTTTCATATTTATTCCTATTCTAAATGTAGTTGTAGCAATCATTATTTTTGTAGTTTCGTCTATCCACTTTGCTAAAGTAAGTTTTCTAGTATTTTCTGTAATTTTTTCATGAAAAATATCTAATATATTCATATCATAATGATATACAAGTTCTCCTAATAGTTCTTCACAATCTTTTGGTCATGCGTAATAGATTATAATTTGTCACTCATTTATTTCATTAATTAATTTCAAAATGTCTGCAGTTGTTTCTTCGCCACGATCTTTTTTTTTTCTAACTTTATGCTGAAGCTCTTCTTGAGCAAAACTTCCACCGTGTGTTACTACAAAATTATTCTGTGATATTTCTAAGTTTTTACGAAGAATCTCTATTTCTAAATATATACAAGTAGCTGTTACACCCATAATTCATATATTAGAATAATATTCCTTAAAAATTTTTAAATTTCTCTACGTATTTCTGTAATAGTTATTTGACTTGTTATCTTTTACTATTCAATTTCTTTTTATTTATTATTTGAAAATCACAATTACCTAAAGTCTGCAAATTTGAATATACAATAGATTTCATCAATTACAATTTATAATTTTTTGTCTATATGTAATCTGAAAAATAATGTGTTAATTTTCTTGCTTTTTAACTATTCTGGTATTATATATAGAAGTTTTGTAAAGCCTATTGCTATTTCCTCGAAGACTTTTATTTCTGTATCAAGTATTGCTTCTGTAGAATTATATAACCCAGTACAAAGTATTTCTGCTTTCAAATATTCTGTCTTTATATAGTAAAAAAATATTATACTATATAATATTATAAATACTTAATATATTTTATATTCTAGAATACTTACTATTTGGTTTTAAATAAGTGCTATCAATAGACTTATTACTACTGTTAACCTATTAAATAAAAGAGCTGATATTATAAAACACAAAGATTTTTCTCCTTCAGTTTTCATTAAAAGTAATGTATTTTTCTGATTATATATATATTTATATATTATATTGAGTTGTTCTGATTGAAGTTCATGATATCTAAATATTTTTTTGTTGTTAATAGTATTTGTTCTTGTGGTAATTTTGTATTAATATTGTTAATCAATATATCTTTTATATTTTTGTTTAATAATCAATCATTCCACCCAAGATGAAGATACAAACTACACATTGCACAAAATCTAGCAGTACAAAATTTTTGAAATGCTTGACATCTTATGTATTTGTTTATTGAATCAAAGTCTTTTATAAATAGTGCAAAGGAAGGATAAAATGTATTTAACTTTATATATTCTTTACCTCGAAGTTTATAAGGTACAAGTTTCTATTAAGATTAATAATAATAATATTTTTTTTGATATTGTAAAATAATTTAATTGTAAATATATATTATAAAATTAATACTTGCCTGGCTGAAATCAAATCCAATTAATTCTGCTTGATCATTAGTATATTTTATTGCCCTTTGGATATTACGTTCTTGTATTTTTTTAATATTAATTGAACATTGATTTATTCTTTCATTTTCAATTATAGCAATATTCAAATAATCTTTCTCTAAAAAATTATAATAATTAGCGACATCGGGAAAATAAATATGATGCAGATCTGCAAAGATCTGCTACCTGCTAAAAAATGACAAATTTTACGATATCTCGTGAACCAGTGATCGAAACTC